ATTTCCTCTTTACAAATTTGAATTACATTTTTTATGGCGGCTAGTGATGATATATCGTATAAAAAACCACAGTGATAGGCATAACATCATAGAAATAATCGAGTGTGCACTGAAAAAGCTTTTGCTCTCCTATCGATCGTGAGTAGGCGATTGTGGCGCGTTTTAAGCTTTCATTTGAATTAAAATCTCACTTCAAACTGATTTTGTAGTAATTATCCAATCACATAAGTTTGAATTTGTGAATGTAGCACTCCTGGTTATCTTATTTTAGAGTTTATTTAGTCTCTGGTCGATGGATTATGGATTTTGTTTAGTTCATTCAGGGGACACACAAATAGAAAAGGTACTGCACTACTGGAAATGGAAATAAGAGCCAAGATTCAGGTGCTTTTCCCTTTCGTATCTGAGGATTTTTTTTTGTAATTGTTGTTCTGGTTCTTTTTTGGCATTCAAAACTTTGTGGAACAAATATATGTATTCATAGGATATATAAAATAGGTATGTAGTCTGTTCGCCTCTCGAGTGTGTTGTTTTTTGAGTGGACTAAGGAATGTAGGCAGCCAGTTTTATTACTTTGTTTATTCGGGTTAAACACTCACTGTTTTGGCGGTGTTTTTTTAGGAGACATTTGTCTGCTCCTGTTCTGTTCATAGCCTGAGGATTTCCCTTATTAGTTTTCATTATTTAAAACAATATTTGGGTAAATTCTTGATTTCACTATAATTTGAATACTCTGTTGTTTAAAGTTAATATTTATAATTCATGAAAAATTTTTGTGTCGGAAAAATCTATCTGACTTCCATTGGTAATGTCCCCTTAAAAGATCATTTGGTAAAGTCCTTTTTAGAGCACCTGATTTTCCCTGCAGCCTTCGCAATTTCCTTTGTGGTCGCTTGCCGCCGCCAGGAGAGGTTTTTCCCTCATTCCCCAGTTTTCCCCAAAAACCGGTTAGCAGCAGCGACCTCAGCCTTTTTCAGCCATTCACCTTGGCCGTCGTGTGCAATTAAAGGGAAAAGTCGTTTGCATTAAAAACCCATTTTGTGGATTTGCATGGCGGTTGCTTCAGGACGTCGTTGTTGTTGTTGTTGCTATTTTTGCAATGTTTGTTGTTGTTGTTGTTGTTGTTGTTGTGGTTGTCTAGCTGTTTGTGTTGCTGTTGTTAGTCTTAGAAACAGTTTTGATTTGCGTTCACCGAAACTAACTAACACACGCACATAATTGCCTGTCATCGTAATGGATTCATGTCCTGTTGGTGGTTGTTGTTGTTGTAGATGTTGTTTCTAGTTATCCTGGTCTCGTTGGTGTTGGTGTTTTTATATGCAAAAGTTGTACAACAACCGCAGGCAAGAGAAACAGGGAGAAGAGATCAAGGCAATAATATTTCTTATAAAATTTTCCCATCATTCCTATGGCAGCTATATATATTATATAGTTCACCGATTCGCCCTGCTCCGACTTATATACTAGTAAAATTATATAGAAGAATAACTCCATAGTTTCATTTAAAGAGCTTGCTCTTAAATTTGTTCCTAAACAAATCTCGCACATGTGTGGTTATGATTCCCAACCGGTTCTAACATCCCCGGAACGAAGTGACTTCTACCGGCCAAGTCTCAGAAATGTGTTGTGTTACAAAAGTTGCAAGTCATTGTTTACTAGTGTTCAAAGTTAGTAACTAATCATACATACTTAATGGTCATAGATACTTTCTGATCATAGTTAATAACTGATCATAGTAAATTACTGCTAATAGTTTATAATTGATCATAGTTACTTAATACCCTGCAGGGGTATTGAAAATTAACTACTTAATTTGTAATAAAATTTTTTTTATATATTTTAAATTCCAGAAATTTTTAAAAATAATCTATCTAAAATCTATAAATGTTTCCTTTCAGTACACATCCACAGTGCACACCTAAGCAATTAAAGGCCACAGACCACAGCGAAAGAGAGGTTATTCCAAGGATTTTCGTCGCCTGGCAAATTGCCCGCTGGCAGGACACTGGTGGAGGAATGGATCAACGAGGGGCAGAGTTCAATCGAAGACTGTGCAACAATTTGAGTTTAATTGATGCCAGTCCTCGTCCTCGTCGTCATCGTCGTCGTCGTCGAAGAGCGTGCGTGCGTTGGCATTTATGAGCTGTACTGAACGGGAGCTCTGACGGAAAGAAAGGCTCCTCTTTTGCCACCTGGCGAATGGACAATGACTGAGCCGTTGATTGGCAGTGGATGCCAGGTGTTCTTTCACCTTCGGAATTCTCATTATTAGTCCCGTTTGCATGCATTCAACTTTTTTCCCAGGTGGCAACAAGTAAGGTCCTTTCGAAACTCGAATGAAACATGAAAATATTACTCATACGACATGTGGTCCAAAAGAAACTTGATTTCCTGTAGCATAACTTTGATTTTCATTATATTTTTTAGTTAATTGTTTAATCTTTCCTTATTAATTACTTTAACTTTTCAGCAATAATTATCTTCTTAACCAACTTTTACTACAAAAGGGGAGCCTGTAGCTTCCTCTCACTTCCCATTTGAGGCTGTTTTTCAGGCATTTCAACAAAGCTGCTGTGCCCTGCCCTGCTGTGATTGCTGTTGTTGCACTTGGGGCATTGTTTACTTTGATGGTCCATCGTCCATCCCGCTGCGATGACTGTTAACCCGAGCGCTATTTACTGACGCTGCGGTGGCTCTGCCCATTGCCATTGCTTTGGCTGCTGTTGCAGCTGTTGCTGCTGCTGCTGTTGCAACTGCAACTGCTGCCACGGACAACATCCTTGTTGGCCATTAATTTTGCAGGCTTTTGCGTGGTAAAAATGGAAAAAAAAAAATTGTCCACACTGACTGTCCCCCAATGGCCAACGCTTCTGGATAGATAGACAGGATGCTCGATAGTGTTTAACCTTTGGCCTTTCCTTTGTCTCTGCGTCAGCTCTTTGCAATCATTTCACTTTCACTTTTCAATGCTCTGCACTGGCAAAAAAATTGAGTTTTTATCAAGCAAAAAATCTGGAGAAAATTTTAAACTTATATGGGTTGCTTTTATTCTTTTGCAATACTCAGTTTATGTTTATTTATAACATTTCCAGTATTGTATTTAGTGAATACTTAAGGTATTTTTAATGTTGTCATCAGAAACCGTGTTTTATTATTAATTTCTTTAATTATTTTTTGTAATATTTCATTAAATTTTGATATGATTTTCGCTTAAAATTCTCCCTTGATTCCCTTTTATTTTTCGCTTAGTACACTTTTGCTCTTGTGCTCATTATCGCGATTGTTGCTGCTGCTGTCGCTCTGCGGTGGCTGTTGTTGTTATTTACTTTTTAATAATTACAGCTCTCTGCTGCAATTGTCCCTGACCACACGCTGAATGGGTCAGACAGAGGACGAGGGGACAGGGACAGTGACAGGGATAGGGACAAGGACACCAGGCGGACGGACGCGTTGATAAATTGCGAGGACAACGGAGAGACAAAGAGTAGCAGCTTACGGACGACACCCACACGGAAACGGACACCTCGCTTATTAGGTACAATCGGTGTCGAAATAATAACCATAAATTGTTAAAGGATATGAAAATATATGTCAGTAGGTGAAGAGATGTGAAGGATAGGATATAAAGCTACAAGCCATTAATCAAATTAAACAGGGTCATAAAGTGATCACAAAGAAAGAATAGATTTACCAATTCTTTAAAATAATCTAGTTCCTAAGAGACATGGAAATGCTTAAGATTATGTATTCCCTAATATTAAAAGTGCATTTAAAAACGCATTAAATAATTATTATTCCTTATGCTTTCAAAACTTCATTAATTAGAGTAATGATATCCAGAAAAAATAATTCCCAAAACAATTCTCAGAACTTTGAGGTACATTTCCACTGTCTCGTTATCATCTCCATTTCCTTGGGCTTCTCCATGGCGAAGGACGAACAATTTAATCAGTCGGCAGAGCGCAGAAAAGCTGATAATACCGTTATGAATAATTTACACCCATACACACACACACCCACACATTCGAAATGAAAAACTGAAACGCGTTTTATTATTGTTTCTGGTGTTTGTCTTTTCTGGTTTTATTTATAATTAATAAGGCCGACATCAAATAAGAGAGAGCACTTGTTGTTTACACTTTGCCCTTCCTGCGGAATCTTTTAAGGAGCCGCGTGTGAAATCGTTTTAATTAGTCGCGGTAACTTGTTGCGGCCGAAAATGTAATTTTGCTGAGAATGGGAATTTCACGAATGTCACATTCAGGCGGAATTCCTGCAGCTCCAGCGAGCTGTGTTTCCCGATTCGCAATTCCCGATTTGTGTCAAAATCAATGTGCTGCCGCCACCGCAAATATCATCTATGAAAGATGGCTGTGGTGGCAGCTAATATCGAAGTCAACCGCAGACACGCAAGACCACAGCAAATGGAATCGCCAGAAATGGTCATTGAATACTAACATTATTCAAGAAGCGGTATATGATATGGAAGATGAGGGAAATATGAGGTTATTATATAGTAAATAACTACTAATGTTTGATTATAATCAAATAAATAAACTCTACAATGAAATGACAGGTACATAAAGCTTAGTGAGAACATTAAATAATTATACACGCATTTTTGGGATACTAAGAATACAAATTGAAATTGAACATAAAGATATGTGCAAGAAGAATGTAGCTAGAAAGATGTTATTAGAAACAATTTTCCCAACAACAAATACACTTATATCTAGACCTTATAAAATCTTATATAAATAATAAAACACTTCATTTAATATTAAAAACAGTCTTTATTATACATTTTCGGGTTGTTTTACAATATATTTTTAAACTTTTCTTATAAAAAGTCTTTTTTCTTATTTAAAATATAACTTAGTTCTATAAGATCTTTTACAAAATCTCTTACATATTGACATACATATCTTATACATAATACTTTGCCTTGAATCAAAACATCCAATTTATGATTATACGAGAAAGAAAATTTCATTAAGGAAAACTTTGCATTAGCGAAATAATATGTAACTTTTATAAATTGTTTGTGATGCTTTTTGGCTCTAAACCTGAACAGTAATTAATTCCTTTAATAATACAAACTAAAAACTATGACTATATGTAATTTTGTTCATGATTTCTAAGGACTAGTGAGTCCTTCAGATGATTCGATTCCTTTGCTCTATCGGCTCTTTTCCGACTGTTTTTCCTAGAGAACCACCTGAGCTTGGATCGCCTGTGCGTCGTACCCAATTCCGAGACCAACTGGATAGTGTCCCTTCCATTGACCACCTTTTCCAGCTCTTTGTCCAGCTCCTGACCGGTGGCATTGAGTATTTGCGCGACATGGGCCTCGTCAATGGTGCCCTTGAAGATGAGGGGATAGGGCCACTCGTGGCATATCGTGGGTCCACTGTAGTCCCTCAGTGCCTCGATCATTCTATCCAGGCGTAGCATCTCCTCATGGTCATCGTTAAACTCACGCACCTCGTCCAGCAACGCGGCTACATTGGATTCCAGCACCTGTGTTCGAGGGAGGTGAAATTGGATTAGCCGCTTGAAATCGCTTATTCTTGCTTATTTGCTCGATTTGCATTGGTTGTGCCGCTGAAAATGACACTGACAAGCGACAGTGACGGCGTTACGGTCATTGATAGCCTCAGTTTTTCCCACCTCCAAGCTATCGCCTCCATTCCAACCATTCACCCAATGCCCAGGCCGTCTCGGATTTCAGCTGCTCTATATTTTCGTGGACCTCGTCAGCAGCGTCTCTCTATTAGTGCCCAATTAGCGGAGACTCGGAACTGGGAACTGGGAACTCAAAACCTGGCCAACTAAGCCCATGTTAGGTGCATGTTACCAGAAGGGGCACAAGCTCACACCCTCTCTCTGGATACAGTGTTTAATGCAAAAATAGGTTTTGTATATAAGGAATATTATAGTTAATAGATCAAATAGTAATTGAATAGCTATCCTAACTATCACTAAGGCCATTATTTATTTCTGTAAGTAAATCATTACACCTTTTCACTGCAAACCCTCTCCTATTTATATATCCCTGACTGTCTGATACATCGTTAACCCGTTCACTTGCCTTTGGCCAAACCGACATTGTCTAATTAGCGGTGCAAGTAATCACTGCCACCTCCATTTACCATCCCCTAGAGCTACACTTCTACACCCTTCCATTACACTACTTCCCCCTCTTGGGCCAATGCAATATTCAAACATTTTGTTCCCAATAGTGAGGCTATAATTGCATTAACATGTTCCAAATCGCTGTCGTAGCTGTTAACAGAGTTGGCCAACGAACAGCTGTTAAACAACAGGTGATAACAGGTGGAAAGGTAATGGGAATAGGCAGAGAAATGGAACGGGAAATGGTGACAACAACTAGATACAAAGGCCAAAAGAGGTTAATGGATAAAATAGTTCAGTGACTATGATAAAATGGGGAAACTAGCACAAGAACTTTATTAATTTGTTAGTAAAATAGTTGGAATTTATTTAAGAATTATTTTATGTTAAGCGAATTTTATATTAATTTTTGTATTTGCATAAACTTTGTTCAGTGCCTTGGTTATCGTTTACAGCAATTGTTTGGTATATAACTGATAACATTCGCTGAGAGATCGACTGATAAGGTAATTGGAACAAAGGCCTGATAAGCGGGGTGAAATGGAGAAAGGGGGCAGTATACTCTGTATTAAAAACTATACTATATAGCTATATTTAAACAAAGATATATGTACATATAATGAAGTATAACACATTAAAGACCACTAGGTCCCCCTCTGCTTTTGAGTAACTATTAACTAGTACGTTAATTAAGGGTTAATTTCCCCAATTACCAAAAACTCAATATGCAGATTAATCACACATTTTAGAACTTGATGAACACGTCCCCGTAAATTCTCAACGTTGAGCAGCATTTGCCGCCTTTGCTGCACCGCCGCACTAATTGACGACGTCATCTGCGTATTTTTATTCCGTTTTTATTCTCCAATTTTCGGTTTGTGTTTGTATTTTTTTTACATGACGCTAATTTGAGTAATTTAATGTTTTTCTTTTTTAATTTATTTATTTTTATTTTTGGTCCGCTTTTGGTTGAGTTCGTTGAGCGGCAAATGGAATTCCGCTCGCGAGTAGCTCTCGCCGTTGACTGAGGCCTCTTCTTTCCACAAAAAATAATATTGTTTACGCGCGTCAATCAGCCGGACACTAAAGTGTGTGTGCACACTCATTCCACACACACATAAACTTAATCATACACATTTGTTAAAGAGAACAAAGAACTGGGTAAGAGCATTAGGTTGAGCAGAGAAGAAAGCTCTTTAACGCTGCAATTTGTGGATAAAGTTGAAAAGTAAACAGATTCATATTCAATAAACAAAATGATAGAAAGAAGATTTTGTTTATATTTTTATAAGGGAAAAATATTTTTGTACATAAAATAATGTATTTAAAATCAAGCCACCTCTGAAAATAGTTAACGTTTGTAAGAAAGTATACTCTTACTATAAATTAGGCTATTAGGTTTATGGTTACTTAATATATCTAATTAAAATGTAGCAAAACCTATTTATTTATTACTTTAAATATTTACAGAAATTATTTCTAACCAAAAGAAAAAACAAATCTTCCCATAATCCCCCTCTTCTCAGTAATGAAGTTTACAACTAAAATTACTTCATTTACAAAGTCTCATTAAAGATTTTTGAGAAGATAGAGTTCTCCTGAGTGCCTGAAAGCAGGCACTATTGTTTGCAGAACCTTCTCCTGCACACCCTTCGAGTATGCTATGACTTTGCTGTTGTTCCCAACCGAGGGAAGGCAACCTAGAAGTATGCAGCACTTTCATCGTATTCATATGCAAGCCGCAATGATTTTAGAGCAGCTCTAGCCGCCTTGTCTTGGCTTTAATCGAGCTTTTGTTTGGCTTAACCCGTGCCTCATCCTCCTGCCACACCCACACCCACTTCCATTCGCATTCTCATCTAGGAGATCCCATATTGAACCCATCCCGCACTGATGGCCAAAGCCAAAGCCAAGGCAAACAAGCATCAGCTGCCGGCCATTAAAATTTTAATTTTGTGCACCATTTGCCACCATCTTGGCCCACTGGGCACCGTCAAGTACCACTGAAGTACCGATCCCATCTCGCCGTAGCCATCGCCATCGCCATAGCAATCCCGTCCAAAGCCCTTGGCTTGAGCGATTATGTTGATGGCCAGGCGCTGCTCACCTGTACCAGTGCCGCTCCTCCTCCTGCTCCTCCTCCTGCTGCTGCTTGTCGATAATACGCTCAATTCAATTTGCATATTCAGTTGTCCAATGAAGCGCACACCACAGCAGCAGCAGCAGCGTAGCGGGAGCGATCCCTCCCGGCTTCAATCCCAGGCAAAAGAACCCCAACTGAACCCCATCTCTCCCAGCAGCACATCTGTCCAGGCAAATCGCTTCCTTCTTTTTTTTTTTTTTGTATGTTGCTCTGAGCCATCCAGGTTTCGTTGGCCACTTGCAAGCAGCCGAAATGTGCCGCTGACAGCACCGCACGCATGAGCTGCATGAACAGCTTCAGTTTTGGTGAATGCACTGAGAGAAATAAGGAGTATTTTACGAGGAAAAAATTGGGGAAATGAAATATACAAAAATCTGCCTCTTGAAACCTCAAAGCTAGGTTTATGAAAGTATAGGAATGACAGAATATACCCTTGGTTTGATATTATAGCAATAATCGAAGCAAAGGATATAGTAAAAGTTAAGATATAAGTGTGTTATATCAATATTCTGTTTCTGTATAGATTTGTGCTATTAAAGAACCTATACATATATGTATATATATATTTAGCTTTAACTATAATTTTATACCCTTGCAAGGGTTCTATTACTTTAGTCAAAAGCTTATAACAATATGAAGTAGTCATTTCCGACCCTATAAATCATATATTCTTGATCAGCATCAACAGCCTAGTCGAATTAGCCATCTAAGACAGAAAAAAAATTTCGAAATTTTTTCCAAATTTTAAAGGGGTTACATCATTAGAACTTTGAAAAATTGATAAAAATTCGAATTTTTCAAAGTTTCAAATTGAATATGCAGATTTGTTAACCTAATAAAAACTTATATAGAACAGCTTTCCGAATTAAAATTAATGCTTTTTTGGCTTAGTTATGAGTATTTAAAAACTGACATCTTGAAAAAATAGTCCAAAATATCAAAAATATTTCTTTTTTTTTTTAGATCTGTTATTTTAAAGCCTTCAAAAAGAATCCTTTTATTTACTGTGTACTTGCAGATGCCGCTTTACGGATCGTGCTGCTCCTTTGAATCCTGCCAGCGTGTGGAGTCGTCCTCACCTGCTGTTAGTCCATTACGTTAGCAATTTAACTTGCGCCACGTAAACATGATTATCATCTTAAGTGTGCAGTGTGTGCTGTGTATATCTGTGTGTGTGGGAGGTGCAATGTGCGTGGCCCGGAGTCCTGCGGAGCAGTTGGGTGAAAACTTCGCAGTCAGCTGCGGATTGTAAGCTCGTTGGCTCGCTGTTTAACAAGTTTCAATCTGCTTAAAACTGCAATTAATTTAAACGCTTTCTTTTCCCCAGAAATCCACACCTCCCCACCATAATGGCCGAAAACAGTGAAGGAGCAACAGCTTCGGACCCACATCCCAGAATCCGGATTTCAATCCGGTTAGAGTGCTGCCCTAATTGAGCTTGTCAAAATCAGCCAGCAGCAGCGAGGACACTCAGCTGCAGGATCCAGCTCCCATGGCCGGTGCGCTGACCAGGTGTTTTTCACCCGGCCAGGATTGGGTACGTCCCCTTGTCACCGGCAGGTGATTCGGGTGTCCAATGCGGCTGCTGATCCCGTTCAAGCAGATTGCAGCCGGAGGAATTGCAAACGCACAACCAGAGGCGTGCGGGGAAAAATTGCAACAGCCGCTTGATTAATTTGGGGGCGGTTCCTGGATAAAATTTGTGGGCGTGACTGCAACGCAACACCATTTTTAAGGTTCCTGCTACGATGATGATGGGTGTGTGAAGGGTAGCACGCCTTGGAGAGGGTATATGCGACACATGGGGAGGATTTGTTTGAGGGTCTTAAGGAGTTAATGATTTACATTTTTTTATAATATTTATATTTAGCACATAAACCAGGTTTTTATAGTCTTGAATAAATTAAAAGGTATCCAGAAGTTGCAATAAACTCCAAATTCCTTGCAAATCTTGGCTATTTCTTGCCAGTAAAATTTTGTAGCATACTTTTTTGTTCTCGCAAAGGATATGTGTATTTTGGCATTCCTCTTCAATCTAATTAATATTTCATGTAATAACATTATGAATAACAAAAGAACCAACAATAATTCCAGGTAATTCAAGGAATCTAAACCATTCCAAGTAATTTCTCACTTGCCTTTGTCGCCTGACAGGGTAAATTCCTAGCCAGCAAAAACAAGGACCTCCGCAAAAGAGTCCATCAGACAGACAGAGAAAAAACCCATAGAGGGAAAAAAGGATAAAGCAAACACACACACAACTGCATTTATGAATGCAAATATTAATAAAGATGTATATACGCACACCAACACAGAGTCTGTCAGAGGCAGCGACAGAAAGAGATGGCAACACAAAGTACCGTTGACAAACCCATTATCAGGAAAACAAACCGGAGATTAACTTGGCAAAATGTCTGCAGACGTCGAAAAAAGAGTCCAGGCACAGGACTAGCGAGTGCGAGCGAGAGCGGCTAACTACCACATGCTGAATAAAATATGAGCAAAAGTGCACAAACACACACATACACAGAGAGAAAAAGAGAGCAACAGGGTAAGCGAAAGAGAGACACAAACACACACTAGCATTCGGTGCTGTAAAAGTGACACATGAGCGTAATAACAGCTAAGACCTTGCTAAGCATCCGGCAGTCAACAACCACTTGCTGGATCCAAATCCGAATCCGAATCCCGTCGCTTATCCTCCTAGCCCTGGCCTACCCCCCTCCTTTTTCCAGCCATCCATCCATCCTTCCATCCTTTCTGGACGAGAGCATCAGCATCCCCGCCCTGGTTTTTGGGCCGTCGCTGCACTCAGCGTGATTACAAATTATAACGTCTGAGCAATCGCCGTTAGCTTGACTGCAGTCTGTGTGTGTGTGCGTGTGTGTGTGTGAAAGGGGCGGAACCAGGGTTACCGCCCATAGGAAATATAACTCTACAACTTTGGTGAGGGGGTACTGAGCGAAAAAGGGGGTATAAATGGTATAACATTAATAATGATCAATATTATATATTAAATACAAATAAATCTACAGGTATCTTTAAAATATCTATAGAAATATCAGGGGGTATAAATGGTATAACATTAATAATGATCAATATTATATATTAAATACCAATAAATCTACAGGTATCTTTAAAATATCTATAGAAATATCAGTGGGAATAATCCAAAACAATCTTTTATATTGATTTAATAACTTGATTCAAACAGAAGTTCGTACTTTCGACACATTTTCTAATGATTAAATATCTTAATTTAAAGAACAATGTCACAAAGTCTTTTAAAAGAATCCTTTGAAAAACCTTCACTTGAAAGCTAACTTATGTATATTATTAAACCCTAGAAAACGTTAATTTATTAACAAACGCTATAGAATTTCTCTGAGTGCACCTTGTCTTCCACAAAGGAAGGAGAGACACGTTCTAGAGGGTTGAGGAATTGGTTAACGAATTTTAGCTGCACGCACCGCTCGCCAAAATGCCGCTCCGCTCCGTTGCCTTCTGGTGGTTGGCCAGACAGGATGCCCCGGACTGCTAACCTTGCCCCTGGTTGGTCCTGTGCAACGTCCATCCCCCTTCGGCTGAAGCAACCGCCGCATCCTCATCCTCATCCGCTTTCCCTCATCACCCTCTGCTTAGATAATTCCGTTAGCCTGCAGTGTTTTCGTTGTTGTGCCAATAACTTAATTATGCATTTGCCAGTAAATTGCTGTAAGCACTTTTTTTTTGTGTGCAGCATTTAAAATGGCGTC